TTGAACCGCGGTCCCTGATGCTTTGCTGAGCTTGTTTTAAGTAGGCGCTTTAGACCACTGAGCCATCTCTCCAGCCCTTGAGACAGGATTTTGATAAGGAAAGCTGCCCAGAGTGGGCTTCCAACCCTCCTGCTTCAGCCCTCCACCTGCTGGGGTTACAGGTAAGCGTCACCATGTTCAGTTCAGTTTCTCCTCGATTCATAGTAGAGGACTCTGAGGCTCAGAACATCTAGGAATCTGCTCCTGGTCCCACACAAGACGCAGAGCGAAGCTTGAACCTGAGACTCCCAGTTCATGCTGCTTTTTCTATGAAATCAGACTTGCATCATAATAACCCTACAGCGCTTCAGAGCCCTTTGCCGCCTCCTGGTGACTCCAGTTTAAATCCTCCCAGATACTCTGGCCAAGTTTCCAGCTCACCTCTGTGGGTATCTCACTTCTGGGGTCTTGCTACCTCCCAGGGTGTGGATCCAGGCTGAGGTACCCAGGCCCCGTGCTGTTTGTCACATTTGTCACACTGTGGGACCAAGGTGGCAGACACTATCAGGCTCACTGCAATCTAGTTCTTCAGGGTGACATTCTGTCCAGCAAAAGCCTGGCTTTCCTGGCTCCTTGGCAACTAGGCTGGGCCTTGGCACTTGGGTCTGGCAACCAGGTGTCAAGGATCACCCATGGAGTGGCTTTCCTGATTTAAAGAGGGGAATTTCCAGCTGGCAGCATGCTCTACCCTTTTTCTTGTAGAAGGTGGATGTGATGACTGGAGCCCAGCAACTATTTTATGACCATGAGGGGGAAAGCCATAAACTTGGGGAGGATGGAAAATTAGAAAGAACCTAGGCCACAGAGGACAGCATGAACACAAAACACCGGCCTTGGGTCTCTGTCCTCTTTGAGGAAAACCATCACTCCTCAGTTGAGCCTCTGAGGCCAGGAAAGAAGGAAATACCCAGCAGTAGAGGGAGACTAATGACATCGGCGGTCTGCAACGTGGTGTAGCCGTGAGAATGGCAGGAGATGGGTCAGCACGGTGGGTGAGCCATCACTGCTGAGCATTAGGTGTTCTGAGCACATACTCTGGGGCACTGAGCTGTCAGAAATGAGCATGTTGGACCTTTACCCTGGACCCCAGCTCTCTCAGTGTGCACCCCACTGCAGCTGCCCCTGCTTTGCCCACTGGGACTGTAGCCCATGGGGCAGGATGGGGCGGAGGACCCTTCTCAGGTGCTCAGCAGGGGGATGGGGAGCCCCAGGGGAGGCTGCCTTTGAGCCTCCACTCTTGTCCACATGCCCTTGGGGGTGGGCGTTGCTCTTGTCCTCACTCCCTCCTGAGTTTGGCCTTGCCTTCCCTCTTGTCCTGAGAGTATCCCCTTGTCCCCAGAGGCCCCGTGCTCCCCGTACTGGGAGGATCCTGTGAGCGCATCCGTATGCGAGACCGCTTGCCTGGAAGCAGGTGGTGCAGAGCGGGTGCAGTCGGGGCAGTGGAGACAGATGGTACCTAGAAGGGCAGATTCAATTACCGGCTCCTTCCCCTAAGCCCATCCGCCATAACTGTGTTAGGGCCATTATTGATTGGCCTTTCCTGGGCCACAGCTGGAGACTGGGTTTGTTTGTGACTTGTTACATCCGCTGTAGAGGAGAAGGATGGGCCAGCCACTCAGAAGTCTAGGGAGGAGGTGGAGGAGGCCGGAGCTGTGGGGACAGGTGGGGAGTGGGTCAGCCAGGGCCGAGTTGGGGCTTGTGAGCCAGAGCCTGGGTGCCCAGGGAAGAGGTCAGTTACAGGGAGTGCAGAAGGCCTCTGAGCAAGACAGTGCAGGGGAGAGGAGTTCGTGAGGAGAGGACCAAGGGATGTGGCAAAACACAGGCGAGGGGGAACCCTGTCAGCCTATAAGGAGGACAGAGGATAGACTCGGTGCTGGGCTCACAGGCTCAGATAGAGGCTTGCATGGGCACGGCCCATGGGGGCTCAGTGCACTGATGGGGACCCTGTGGTGGGGACAGTCATGGCTGCACTCCAGCTTCGAGGCCCACAGACTCTGCATGGGAGCTCATGGCCTCTCCGGGACTCAACAGTCAGGGTTCTGGCGGGGTGTTAGAGAGGGACCTCTTCCTCACTCCCTGCCCCATGTCCTAGGTGCCGCATCCACTGTAGTCAAGGACCCTGGGCCTGGGCCATGGCTTAGCTGTGCTTGGCTTCTCCCTGTGCCAGCCCCTGAGTCGGGCTTCTGTATTCCCAGACTCTGTTTCTCTAATCCTGGGATTAGTGGGAGGGGAACTGGCAGCCAGCACAGCAGCTGCTCAGCATGGAAACTTTCTCCCAGTGCCCTCCACACCCCAGAGCCCCAGCAATCCAGGTTGGGTGGGGGCTGAGGCACAGGGCACATCAGAGCCAGGCTGCATCCCATCCCAGGTTGCCTGTCCTGCCCATGCCCAAGAGGGGCACTGGTGGAGATCACGTCCCTGTGGGAAGCACGGACACCAGGAGTGACTGGGCCCCAGCCAACCCCTAATCTCTCGCTCTCACTCCCTTCCTGAAGGACTTTCCCTGGAAAAAATCTGCCTTGTGTTTCCAGCTGGGAGATGGTGAATGGCAGAGGGGGGCTGGGAGAGGGTGGGGAGCCCATGGAGCTGGGCAGAGCAGACCCCAATCCTGATCTGCATAGCACAGCCTCTGACAGGCCCCTGGTCACCAACCCCAGGCCTGATCCCACCTAGCCCCCAGTGCTGATCCTGGTTGCTGTTTTCCCCACTTTCCTCACAGTGGGCAACCCCAAAAGCCAGAGCCCGCAGTGTCTAGCAGGAAATCTTATGTTGGTGAGCGTAATTATTGTGGTGGGTAGTGACGGAGGTGGTCACAGCGGTAGCCACGGTGGGCATGACGTGGTTAAGTGCGGTGTGGCAGGGCGGTCAGGGGTCATGGAAAACTAAAACCCCAAGGAGCACGGATGAGGGCTGGGCAAAGAGTGGGCTTTGCGGCTTTTGCAGCCACCTGGGCGAGTCGCCTCTCAACCTTCCCTTTCCCTGTTGGGAACGCAGGACTAATATGAGCAAGTGGTGGCATTCAGGACTCAGAAAGTGAGCCCCGAGTGCTGAGCGGTACATGCACCCCCTCGATTCTTCTCTAGAAGCCTGTCTGTTCTGGGTCCTCCCTCTGCCCACAGACTTCCTCCTGCCATCCCCACAGACACTACCCTGAATCACCATCTCCACCCTTTGGAGCCCCACACATTCTAAAATAGAGGACTCCGTGCCCCTGCTTCCTTCACCCACTCCCTCCTCACTCCTCGCGTTCCCCTCACCACGAAGGAAGCCGGAAGCTGCAAGTCAGAAGCCACACTCCCAGCCCATGGCTCAGCCTCAATTTCCTGGGGCGTGTGTGGGGAGGAACTGGGTTGAGGACCACTACGGCTTTCCCCCAAGCCTCCAGGACCAGCACCAGAGCTCTTTCTGCCCCCATTGGAGTCCCTGGCTCAAGGCCTCCGGCCGTGGAGATCGATGCTGCGGCAGACCCTCCTCTCCACACGCGACCGTGGTTGTGGTTTAGCTCCGGGTTCTAATTCCAGCCTGGCCAGCTGCAAGCAGGTCAGCCAGCTCAGCGCCAGAACCCCGCTGGGCCCTCTCCAATGCCTTAAATGGAGGCGGATGGCCCTGAGCCCCCCGTATTCTCCCTAGATCCACCTGCTCTTCTGTGTCCAAGACCCCAGCAGCCTTCTTCCCTCTCACCCACCATTCCCCCAATCCCCCTGCCTTGATTCTCTTCAGAGGAACACAGAATCTAATTTTATTTTCAAACCATGAAACCAGCTCATCAATTCACTTTGCCCTTTTAAAAGCCTATTATCCTGATTAATCCTGTCTGGTATTAATGCCAATAAATTATATAAATCTTGAATCTTTTTTTAACTCAGGAAAATAAACTTTGTTACAATGATCCATCATATATTAATCTGTGTTGTATAAACTGTTTAGTTTTTAAAAACCCAAATGCCTTTTAGACACTGATGCAAGCATCTCTGATTCTCCCTGCAGCTGTGGATTCCCTTTTAGTAACAGCAGCTTGGGGGTGGAGACCCACTTCCTGCTGAGGTTCCAGATTTATATAATTTATTGGCATTAATACCAGAGGGGATTAATCAGGATAATAGGCTTTTAAAAGAGCAAAGTTAAATGATGAGCTAGTTTCATGGTCTGAAAAATAAAATTAGATACTGTGTTCCTAAGAAGAGCTGGGTATTCAACAGCAGATTGGGAAACTGGGTATGGTGGTGCACATCTGTAATCCAGGAAGTCTGGGAGGCTGAGGCAGGAAGATTACAAATTGCAGCCCAGCCTATGCAATTTAGTGAAACTTTGTCTTGAAAAAAAAAGTATATTAAAAGACTGGGATTGTAGCTCCTGGGTTCAGCCCCAGCACTGAAAACAAAATAAAATAAAATAAAATAAAGTAAAGTAAAGTAAAATATCAGACTGTTTGCAGCACTAGTAAGATAGCCCTATCCACAGGGTTCCTGAGCTGGGATGTGCAGAAGACTGAGGTAGGGAGGTGAGCCTGGGCGTGGAGATGTTTTTCCATCAAGAATGGAGGAGGTGGAGGAGGATGAATGAGAGATTGTGTCTTCTTCCAGAGAGGATTTAGTCTCATGAGGCTACCGGAGGTGCATCTGATGAGCCCCTGGTTTGGGTGAAGACCACAAAGCCTGCTTGGGGATGGAGGAGGAACCGGAAGAAGGCAAGCTCTCAGAGCCTGTATCCTGGTCTCTTCTCAGTTCCTGCCCTGGATTATAGGGTTCAGGGTTGTTGGTGTCCTCCAGCTACCATAATTTCTCTCTTCAAGAGGACACCACCACAATTTTGCAATTATAGTGTCCAGGGCACACGCGCACGCACACGCGCACGCATGCGCATGCACATGCACGCACACACACACACACACACACACCAATAAAACAACAAAATAAACTCATAAAAGAATAAAAATACACATACACACACACACAAGCAAAATATGAAACCAAAAAGGAAAAAGTAGACAGATGGTGAGGGCAACTCAAATAAAACATAAGAGAAAAACTAATACAAGTAGGGTGTGGTGTACACTTCTAATCTTAGTAATTTGGGAGGCCAAACCAGAAGGATTGTGAGTTTGAGCCCAGCCTGGGCAACTTAGCAACACAGCGAGGCTCTTTCTCAAAATAAAATATAAAAAAGGTCTGTGAATATAGTTCAGTGTGAAGGCTCTGGGTTCACTCCCTACTCCCCCCCCCCATGGTACTAGTGATTGAATTTAGGACCTTGGGCTTGCTAAGCAGGCACTTACGCTACTAAGCTATCTCCTTGACCTTATTCCCCAGTACTATAAAACAAAATAAAGCAAAACAAAACCAAAAATAAACTAAGGGCTGGTGAGATAGCTCAGTGGACTAAAGCACCTGCTTAGGCAAGCTTAGGCAAGTGCAGGGACCGCGGTTCAATCCCTGGCACCACATGCCACTTGGAGTGAGCAGGCCAGAGAATTACAGCATGGTGGTGCATGCCTGTAATCCCAGTGCTGGGGAGGCTGAAAACAGGAGGATCACTATGAGTCTGAGCTGCGTAGTGAGACCCTGTAATAACCGAATATGTTTTTAAAAAGTAAACTAAACAAATAAACAGGAACTCTAAATGTTGACATCACCAGGTGAATATATTTAGAATTCTTAAATGCTTACAAAGGGATAAATAACATGATGGAGATGAGAGATGCTGAGAATTTGGGTAGAAAATGAAACATTTCTTTAAAATGTGGAAGTTCTAGAGTTAAAAATTACCTGAAGCCAAGCACTCAAATTATAGTTTAATAGGCCATCAGACATAGATGAAGAAAGAGCTAGTAAGTTCGAAGCTAGATCAGAAAACATCAGAATGCAGGGTGAAAAGGTAAAAGGATGGAGAACACAAAAAAGAGTCAAAGAGACCTGGAGGAGACTTCGGAAGGAGGAAGAGGATGGGCAAAAGCAACGTGTGGAGGGACAGTGGCTGAGGTCTTCCCCAAACCATGGGAAGTAGCCAATCCATATGTTGAGTGAACCCCAAGAACCTGCAGCAGCACAGGTGAAAAGGAGCACAACTTTCACCAGTATAGTGAGCCTGAGGAATATGTGTCTGCTGCCAGAGTGAGCCCAGAGACAGAGGGACTTTTAAAATAACCAGAGAAAAATTCAATTATCTTCAACGGGCAATGAGTACTTAGACAGCTGACTTCTTCAGGGAAAACAATGGAAGCCAGGGGAGATAGAACCTTTTAGAGGCTCTGTGAGGGAGGATAAGTGATGCGTTAGACAGATGGGTAGGTGTTTCCTTCACAATCAGTCAGCCTCCAGCAGGCATCCACTCAGTTCTGGTGCTGAGCTGAGTCAGTGTGGAGCCCACAGTTTACGAGGCTGACCTGCATTGCAGGGCCAGGATGTGATTGATCAACACTTTCTCTCTCTCTCTCTCTCTCTCTCTCTCTCTCTCTCTCTCTCTCTCTC